CTTAGCCTATACACGCATCTTCTACTAAGTGTATTGTTTATAGGTACTATAGTCAAACATGTCCACGTTAGGGAGTCTAGGCTTAGAGTAACTTCGTACGGGTGGGGCTAGAGCAGTCGCCTCGCTCGTTTGGTCGGTCGTATTCATAGCGCTGACGTGAGCTCCCGTGGGAGGCGGTGTCGTACGGGCTTCTTGAAGTCGTCTTGTCAGGAGCTCAATCTGGGACATCATTTCCTGGTGTGCGATTGCCTGTCTCTCAAGCTGTTCAGCCTGTCGTACGTTGTTGGCTGTTAGCTAGTCGATATTTCCTCTCATTATACGGATAAAGGCGATGGATTCCTCGTCCAGCATAGCTGGGCCAGAGGCTGGTAGCGTTCCTTGTGACTCTATCTCTTTCTTCTTGCGTTGTTTCAGTCTCTCTTGTGTCGTACGAGAGAGATTAAAGAGTGGTGATCTTTCTTCTTATGTTATGGGCGAGAGAGGCCTAACTAACGAGTATGCATTCACCTATTGTACAGAAGAAGAAAGATACAGAAAAGAACTATCTAGAGGGCCCTCCTTTTATAGTTGTTACTCGTACGAACGCTCAGACCTTTAGTCTTCCTCCTTACTTAAGCTTGTTCGTACGTAACTAACCACGTTATTTAGTCACGTGACTAAAGTCATGTGATTCACTGCCATGTGACCTGTAGGTCATGCCTCTCTGGCGTAGCCCTTTACAAGTCTATCTTTTTATATATAGCTTAAGTGTTGCTAAGGAAAGGTAATGTAAAAGTTAGTTATTTAAATAATAGTTATTCTATTACTCTTAGGTTTTTCTATGTAACTCTTATTCTTTATATAAAGCTATTATACTTCTTATTCTTACTAAGCTACTAGTTGTAAGGGGCTCGACCCCGGAGGGTAGTCTTAAGCTCGGGAGCACGATCGGACAGGCCAAGGTAACAAGATTGTATTCGATAGAGAGCTAAGCTCTCGGCTACGTAGCTATCTATATACAATGCTGGTTGCTAGGGTAACAATCAGGCCGGGCAGGTGGAGTAAACGAGGTCGTAGACGAGTATGGGAGGCGAAGGGCGTTCAGCCCGTTACACTAGTCTACTTAATACTTAAGCAACTTTTTATTAAAAGAGTTCTTTAAGTAGTTAATTTTTTAAGCGTTGTCTATAGCGCTTAGGCCTACTTCTTAAAATTTTAAATATTTCCCTAAAAAGAAGCTATCTTAGATAACTAAGAAGCGAGCGTAGCAGCTAAAGAGATAGTACGTACAATTAGTAATGCGGTAAACTAGGTAGTTTTAGTAATATTATACGCCTAATAAAAGCAAGAGAAGTAGGCAAACAAATCTCGCAAACTATCGCCTACTTATAAAGTAGGAGACTAAGTCTAGCTAGACTTACGTAACGTATAAATAGCCTAGATAAGTAAAAAGCTAGACTAGAAAAGTAGAAAGTACTAAGTCGCCTGCGTATAGGACCCCTACTAGGTAGAACTCGCAGTGCCTTAGGAGACAAAATCCTTCAACGTAGACAAGCTAAGGCTAGCATCTAACAACCTTTTGCTATTACAATAAATAGACAATAGTAGCCCTGCAGCTATCGTCGTACGAGAAGATAGAGAGGAAGAAGACTATTTAGAATAGCTTATACAAGGCATTATAGACGAACGAATACAAAACAAAGAACTACAATATCTTATTATTTAGATAGGCTACCTAGAGGGAAGTTAGGAACTAGCTATAGCACTTAAAGACATGAAGGCCTTAGACAAATAGCTCGCCTAAACTCCCTTTATACAAAAACCTAATAGCTAGCTATAAAATAGCTAAAGGTAAAAGCTACTTAATAAGCAATAGAGACCTAGCGCTACCCCGAGAGGCTAAACGATCCCTCTTAGTGCCTAGAAGACAACGCTTAGCTAGCGTACAGACAGACGAACTATCCCCTCCTCCTGCTAAACAACAGGCGCTATAGTCCTACTAGATGCAATTGCTACACGCACCCCCTTACTCTCTATAGATAGAGACACAACTAGCAAAGGCTATAAACTCCTTCGCCTTATCTAAGACTAGCGCATAGTTATTATAAAATATAGCATTAAGGGCGCTACGCGAATAGACAAGGAAGGCCTTAAGGTGTAACGGCGCAGGTAAGGCAGGTCGGATCTGTTTCGGTCGTAGGATCACTCAGAGGCATATGGGAGTGCGTGGGATCACAAAGAGCCTAGATTCAACAAGCCACCTATAGGCCTTGTACGAAAGGATATCAAAAGTCTACAGAGCTAGCTACAGGGAGTGTCTCAATATATACCTATCCTAGTCGGGTCCGAATTCGGATCCGACCTCGGGCGAATGGCTGATGAAGGGCGGCAGGTACTTCCTCCGATCCGGCTCTGGGATTGGCTCAATACTTGGCGAAGTTGTAACATCGTTACATAAGGTATAAGGGTTAGCCACCTAAGATTTAACAGGCATAGAGCGTCGTATAGGCGACAATAGGCGAATAACTACTAAGGCTAGGACTAAAGGTAGCATTGTACAGCAATAGCCCCCTTAGATAGTAGAACATATTAAAGACCTAGTAAAGCTTAGGCTATACTAGTTAGCTAATTTAGACGTATAATAAGAAAGCAATACTTATAGAAGTAGTAGTAAACACTTAGTAAATCTCTTTAGTAACTTATACGTTAAAAATGTACTAGACCTAGTAGTTGTTAAGGTTAACTTATCTAATTATAATAAGCGCTATAACCTAGATAGCACCTATCGTTATATAAGTAAGCAACTAATAAGTAACGTTAAAGATCTAAGTAGTTGCCTACTTAATAGTGTTATTAACTCTACTATTTGTGCAGAAATATAAGGCGTTAACCTAGCTATTAGCCTATATTCTACAATTAGCGATTGTATAGAAAGACTTAAGGAAGTAACTATAATAAGAGAAAAGTTAAAGCTAAAGGGATAGAGGAAATAAGTAGTAGGTAGGGGAAGAAGAGAATTTATGCTCGCTAGACAGCGTTTGCTATTTAGCACTATTGCCTAACTCTCTTTTACCTTTACTATTTGCCTTTACCTTAACTATATAAGACGCTAAACATGTAATAGCAAATAGACAAAGAGAAAGAAAAAGAAGACTAAGGAATACGCACGTGATATTAGATAAGGTAAAGGAGGGGAGTATTATAAAGGGCTACGCTAGAGAGGTATAACCTACAGGTTATATAGTAGTGAATTACATAACTTTAGTTACATAATTAAATAACGTAGTTAGCTACGTATAGATAAGCTTAAGTAAGGAGGAAGTGTAATGGGCGGGCCCAACGGGCCGAGCGTACGACTACTTACGCCATCCATAGCCAAAAAGGCAGTAACAAGACTCCAAGCTTCTTGAAGTCTAGGTAGTCGTATAGATATACTCGATCACACACACACTTTAGGCGTAGCCTCTTACAGGAAGACTAAAGGTCTAAGCGTTTGTACGAGTAACAACTATAAAAGGAGGGCCCTTTAGATAGTTCTTTTCTATATCTTTCTTCTTCTGTACAATAGGTGAATGCATACTTGTTAGTTAGGCCTCTCTCGCCTATAACAATTTTACTGTTAGTTAAACCTATACTTGATTTTAGTGCTTACTGTAAGAGGCTACGCCTACGTATGTACAGCTTAGCTTCTAAGCGAGTATATCTATACGACTACCTGGACTTCAAGAAGCTTGAAGTCTTGTTACTGCCTTTTTGGCTCTGGATGGCGTAAGTAGTCGTACGCTCGGCCCGTTGGGCCCGCCCATTACACTTACTAAGTAAAAAGTAGTTCTACTACGCTTAACTATAATATCCTAGCTTTTAAAATCACTACTTTACTTATTCTTAGTAGTTCTATTAGCTAAGTTATTTTTATTTTAAAATTATTATTTTTTCTATAACGTTTTTTAACTGTCACCCCTCTGTAAGGTTATCTTGAAATAGGCTTCAGGCATTCTAGGAACCTGCTGCATGCGACTAGATAGCGAGCGTCCTTACTCCCATTCTTACGCGGAACATCTAGCACGCTGTATGTGAATCTACACTCAGACGCATCTTCTAGTAGGGTCGACCAAATTCTATGCTGTCTCACGCCGGCGTCATCGCTGAACGGAGCTCTCTACAGGTGCAGTTTGTAGCTATCTATATGATACTGTTCACCCGAGTAATAATTAAGGTGATATAATTAGGACACTCTAGGTAGAACGTAGAGTCTAAGAGAAGAACTCAGGTTCTGTGAAAGAGATATTATGGTGTAGCAGCTATCACGCGGTCCACTTTAGGCTAGGGAGATATTGAATATTTATCGTAGCCTAAAAAGTCAACTGACTAGCACCCCGAAAGCTGTCACCACTGGTTCTCAGTTATTCAAACCTCACACGACTACTAATTGCGGGTCTTCGCCTGTTCGCTTTCTTTCTAGCGCTGCGATATCCCATGGCTGCTACGATATATAGAAAGCATTTAGCTCGTTACAGAATCTTTTTTCTATTTCTTAAATCGAATTAGTTGGCAAGCTAATTACCCGAGCAAAACAGTTCGCAGATTCCTGCAACAGCTCTCTGTCCGGCCCTGAATGGAAATCAGTGCTTGCGACGTTACTTCTACTTCTACCCGGAAAAAGAATTCTGTCTAAAATCACTGAGACTCTTCTACCTACTATATATCATTATGCCGTGAATAAGCATCCTTAGATCTACAAATTCTTTCAACAAATTCTATATCAACATGTCTTCATTATTAAGTATCCCTGATCTGAATGATACTATCATAAAAATCACCGTGGCATTCCGTAAAAGGCATGATGTTTCAAACGAGTTTTTTACACAGTATTGGCGCAATACACATGTTTTTAAATTTACAAGAAATCCGAAAGTTGAACAGCTTCTCTTGGGCTACGTTCAGGTAAGGTCAAGCTAATCAATATTTTAACAAAATCTAATACCAATACTGAAATTTCATAGTGTCATCGAGATGACACATCAAGCAAAAAGATGGGAGCAGCGGATCTGCTTGACTTTGATGCCATTGCTGAGTTTTACGTTGAGCGTATCGAGGATTGGCATGAGATAGCAAGTGAGCCACAGCACCTTGCTGAGTCAATGACGGACATGGAAAACTTTGTCGATTGTGCTAGTATGAAGCTCTTTATCACAAACTTTGAGCCTAGATTCTGGAAAATACCTGCCCCTCCACCGCCACCGTCTAGGGCAGGGAAAAAGATCGAGTGGAACCATCCAGATCCGGATCACTTGAACCTCAATCATGAGTTTGATTAGGCTAGAATAACTTATACCTCAAGGATCTATTCAAATTTCTATCTGATTGAGATTTTTCATTGTGATATGGTGTAATGAATCTTACAAGTAACAGCGGGAAGAATTCATCCCCTAGCAAGAAAGATGAGTGGGTACAGAACTCACTCGGGTTCACGCCAGAAAGTGATGATCATCGAGAAGCTCGGCCATATGATGTGCCACCACGCCAAAGTTGCACAGCGATGGTACCGATCAAATGCATGACACATAGTTGTACTGATGGCAGTCATCATGCTCATTGCAGATATAACCCTCGACACAATCTGCTCGTCCCCTGACCAATGTTCTGGGCACCTGACACTCTTGGAATTTATGGTATTTAGTGTGCGCGTGACTATTATGTCAGGAATAGCCCATAGCTAAGCATCAGATGTTACTGCGCGGCCGTCGCTAAAGACAATATTGGTGTTTGGGGGCCGTATAAATTAGACATTCAGATTGCTTCATTACAGGCCTGGCAAGATAGCACACTTCCCGTCCTATCATGCGAGGAACTTGGCAATCTCACGGTCATTGAATTGAAAATAGTCGACGGCGGTGTGACAGGCGGGGTTCAAGCTGCACAGCACTCCGTCGTCTCCAAGATGTGTTACACCATTGCTTTACTTGAGGGGTTTGAATGCTTCGGAGTGTAACTTCAAATCTTTCATGGTTGTTACGATGGATACTTGCGTTTCTTTTGAGTTTCTACCGGCGCGTCTGTCGCAGCTACTCCCAACACAATCGTCGTGCTGGCGGACAGAATGTATTTGAGCTTCACGTCCGCGCCAGCATCGTGAAGAGTAATTCTGGTAAAATTCTAAATAATATTGAGTTATAAGGGTCAGATATTGTTAGCGACTGTATTAAGTGGCTGTCTAGGCAATCAGGCTGTATTAATCATTTATTTTGATTGGTGGCTTGTAAGAATAGGCCACAAAAAGGCATGTGTATTCGCATAGCTGGCTTGCTGGTGCTTGCCACACGAAGTCATGGAAGGATCAACCTGTTAGCAAGAAAGATATCGTTGATAAAAAAGATGGACGCCGTGAACATGTCTTACCCACGGCCGACCTATGCTCATTTCGCTACTAGATGTATCCACTATAGACTACTCTTGTCTGTTTATCACCTCAGCCTTTCATCGACATACGTTTAGAGACATACTAAGCACTCCAATTCTTCAAGCACTAAGGACAAGACAATCGTGTCATTGCCAACGGCACAACTGTCACCTGCCCAAGAAGGATCGAAACATGCAGGCCAAGGTCCAGACCAGCTTGAGTTACGACGATTCGCTCCGAACGAAGATAGCAAGAGCGTGCCTCCGCGACGTGTCCATGTCGAGACTGGAGGAGAGCAATTTAATGCCCTATTCAGATCAACGACCATGCCAGCTGATAGGATGTAAATCTCTGTGGTTCGCAATCATGGAGCTTACAGGATTCTCCACTACCTACCAAAACCGCACAATCTACTAACCCATACGAAATATATAACGCTAAACCTATGTCACATGCGATTTTTAAGGCGTGTCTTAGCACGTGAAGTTGAAGCCAAACAACGGAAAAACTGTTCCGCGGAGTCGATGGAAGAAAGATCCCGCAGGAGTCAGTGACCTAATATGTACACCCAATCTTCAAACATTGACTGATCCCATGAGACAATTTCTAGACAGCGGTCAAGGCCTCCACCAAGCATTATTCCACCAACAGGCTCTAAGAATGAGCACAATGATAACATAGGAACATACCGTGATGAAATAGATAAATTAAAAGAGAGAATAGCGCGGGGAGATATTAGTCCAAAGGAGATTGTGGCGTATAACAGCATCAACAGTGACCTCGATGTGCGACCTCGCTAGGCATGAGTTGTAGCTACGTCGCACTTCGAAGGTCGATGCGTATTGGCCAAGTAGAAATTAGGAATGGTGAGGTCGAACAACGTCGCTGTACTGTTCATGTTATGTTCGCCGCTCTAATACGTAAAGGAAGAAGAGTGAAACAGTTATACATAAAGTTCCCTACCGCCTCAAGACTCCTGTTCATTCAAAGCCTCCAACCTTGATCTCACCATCCCCAGATTAGACCTCCCCCGCTCATCTGTCCAACATCTCAACACCTCCTCTCTCATAATCCTCCTTGGGGCCCTCTTCCCCGTAAAAAGCTCAAACTGCGCAAAACCTTGTTCAGGCAGCAAATCCAAGCCATCAAGACAAATCCACAACGATGACGCCTCCCCGCGCACCTGCCTCGTCAGCGGCGTATTTAGCGTGCGGTACGCAAGCTCGATTACCACACCGCCAGAAGGCGACTGCATCCAGTGCAGCGGCAGCGTGAAGTCAGGCGATGGCTCGCCGTTTACTGAGTGCGTGGGGATGCAGGATACGATGATGGTGGCGGGACGGAAGACAGCTGGCCATGGTGTGTCTCGTGACGGCAGGATACAGAATGTAGGCTGTGTATCTTGTACAAAGGATGGAAACAACGTCGCTGCCTCGGGGCTCGCTGCTATCTGCGTAAAGTAAGTAACAAGCGTTTCAGCGTGTGCGGTTGTGCGGTTGAAAATGGCGATATTTTTGATGCCTAGATGCAGCATGGCGTAGATTGCAGCACGCGCCATGCCGCCTGCACCAATGACGAGGGCGGATGTGATAGAGGGTCGGACAGCATTTGCGGGTGAAAGGCCGCGCCGGATGCAGGATCGGATTCCGATCCAGTCTGTGTTGTCGCCAAAGAGAGCTTTGACGGGGCCCGATTGGCTGCGTTCTTGGAACAGCTCGAAGCTTTCTACGTCTGGGATGGTGCCGTCTCGGTTGAGGTGGCGGATGGGGAGGAGAGTATTGATTGCGCCGATTGCGCGGGCATGTTTGCTTACCGCGTGGGTGAGGGCGAGGGCGTCAACTTTGAAGGGCTGGCTCACCGCTGTACCACCGAAATTTGGCTGTCGGAGTAGCTGCTTGATACTGTCGTCTAGTTGGCTGGTTTCGATCCGGTCGAAGTGGTGCGGCATGCCGCAGGCTCGGTATGCGGCGTTGTGCATTGCAGGACTTAGGCTGTAACCTGTTGCTGCACCTATGACATAGAATTCCATTGGATCGTATGTGAATGAAGCGTACAAGATATGTGTAGCTTCTGTCACGGTGAGCCATGATGTTTCTGGGTTCTCTTGTGCCCTTTCTTCGAAGTTTTTGTTTTTCCTCAATTTCTCCGGAATAACTGGTGTAAGAACCTGATTGAAGCATGCAGAGCGACGTCCGGCCTTGCCAGTGTTATAGCATATCATTGGTATTCTCCGCGACTTTGCGTAGATGGTGTTTCGGAACGATTGAATCGCCGCATTGTCGTCCATGAAGTTGGCTGGGCGTGTGAAGCGTGCGACACTGCAACCTAGCCTCATTGCCGTGTCGTATTTTTCGAGCCAAAATACATCGTACCAGTCCATTGCGGCGTGCAAATGCCCAATGACTTTTGTTGAGGCTCTGGATGCGACAATGGCTTGTATCACCTCTTCATCCATGGTCAGATCAACCGTTATGAATTCTGGTGCCATCCGCAGACCATGCCATAAGCTAGCTAGATACGATGTTGTGGAATAGATCGATTTGGTTGAAGTGGGCATGACATGGTAGATGATTGGCGTGACAGTACTCCGGCGAACCCGGGATATGCTCTTGCTAATGTCCTCGGCGTAGTCTGCACAGAGTTGTTTGGGTTCCACCACGATTTCAAATGCGTCGCAGCCAAATTCTAGTTCCTCAATGTCTACATCTTCTGGAATGAGGTCCGAAAGTTGGACTTGCACAGCACATGTGTAGTTTCGCAGTTCCAAATGGACATATGATAAGGGAAAGTAGCCGGGATCCAGTGTTGGACGATTGCTTTCTGTGCTCCCATGCGTACCCCTAGGGGACAGGATGCGAGCCAGAAATTTGAAAAAAGTTCTTTCTGCTCTCTTTAGTGTCAAGAATGCTGGTACAGAGCGCTGTTGTGCAGGGGCGACGGAAAGATGCGACGCATTCGTCTCCGAGATGTTGTAGAATTCGTAGTTTGAGCACCGTCGGAATACGGGTGTGCTGATAGCGACTAGTTCCTGGACTCTAGCTTCGTCGATTTCCAAGTATTCACAAACGCTGCGAGTATCCCGTGTGATATGAATAACAGGATGCGACGTTGAGAATTCGCGTAATAGGGACTGGGTCTTGTTGTCCAAAGGAAAGCTTCCATTGCAGACAATAATGGCGCCTTTACTGTGGTTTTGAAGCACACCCCGGAGTATATCCTCTTGGCAAATACTTCGATTTGAAGATCCGAACTGTTTTCGATATGCTGTTGTTGAGAAGCCGGTGGCTGTGTGGAAGACGCTCTCCATGTCAATGACCCTCCGTTGACAGGTTACAGATGCCATCATGGCCAGCGTGGCTTTTCCTGTTCCATGCATTCCAAGGAGAACAATAGATGCCCTCGAATCAAAAACCCGCCGGAATTCAAGCTGAGGAGGTGCCGGTGTAGACCTTGCCGAATTGGGTAGACTTCGTTGCTTGGACGCTGGCGGAGACGGCGTTGGTAGTGAAGCGCATCCATCTCTCGGCTGGCTTTCTGTGTCGATTTTCGCAATCGAGCGTTTGGTACCGATGGTCACAGAGGCCATGGCTTCAATTTCCCGATTCCGGTTTTTGTCTGAACGCATGGACAAGTTTAAGATCGTATTGAGTTGAATCGCATGTGGTCCGTGCAAATCACGTGATAGCCGCTCTATCCGCTTTTTCCGGGATAAAGATTTATCCCGCTCCGGGAACGCTTCCCCAGCTTTCTCCACCCACCATCGTTCAGTCAACTGCATGGATCTCTATAGTCTAGGCAAAACATGCCTGTTAACCAGACTCTACATTGAGCTCCAGATTTCTCTTTTGGAGAAGATTCGGGGTCGTGCTGCAACACCTACCTAATTGATCTTTCCACGGCGAAAAAGTAACACACGATTAATGTCTTCACAAAGCCAAGATAAGCGGCGCCTGATCTCACAAGATGTTCCCATAAAGCGATTTCGAGTATCCAGAGCTTGCGACCAATGCAGGACTGCCAGAGAGAAGTGCGATGCCAACCAACCCACTTGCTCGCCATGCGTACACAACAACCGGTCCTGCACATACACCTCGAATCCAAAGAAACGAGGGTTGCAACCTGGATACATACGCGGCCTTGAAACAACGCTAGCATTTGTCTTCCAGAAGAATCCTGAGATCGAGACAATGGTATATAACCAATTGTTCCAGAAGAACACGGTGCTGCTTGCGCGGGGCACTAAGGAGTCAAATCGATTGTACAAAAGTTGGACCAAGAGCAGGATCTGCCAGGATCTCACCAAAGCCCTAGCAGGAGAGCCAATAGAAAGTAGAGGAGACAGGCAGCAGAGCCCCAGTGACGACAGCGACGTTGATACAGAAGATGCGACTTTTAATCAGACAACAGCTGGAACTCAATTGCATCAATCGGTAAGATGCTAGAAGAACAGTATCAAAATGTATGCTAACATGAACAGCTTCCATCTATCAGCGCCCCGAGTCATGTATCAGAACATACACCCAGGCCCCCGTTGGCGGACCTTCTCTTTCCCAGCGTGCCAGACTCCGCGGTTCTCTCGAGACTTATGCAACTGCCCACCGACTCTTGGAAACTACTGGAAACTTACTGTACATATACACAATGTTGGTTGCCAATTGCGGATAAATTAGAGATGCTCAAGTTATCATACTCGTATCCTGAAGAGGGACTAGAGCTATCTTGCGACATGCCAAACTCTGGAAGTCACGCAGAAATGTGGAGCATATTTGCAATTGGATCTCTTCAGATTGACGCTGGCAACCCCAACACTGACCCAGGAAATGGATCACCTGCAAGGTTTTACGATGTCGCTAGGCTTCTCATCCCCAACGAACTGGGACAGTTCAGTCTTGATCATGTCAAGGCTTTGCTAAATCTTGCCGTCTTCAACATCAGTACAAGATTATTTGGTGCTGCCTGGCGTCTCGTGGGCACTGCCCTGCGAATATTCCAGACCATCACAAACCCAGCGGATATGAACAAGACCCAACGAAACAACATGTTATCTGGCTGTTTCCTGCTTGACATTTTACTATCCTCACACCTGAATCTACGTCCTTATCTGATTAAAGCTGATTTATTCCGGATGGGAAAGATAGAAGAGGATGGAATGGAAGAATGGCAACCTTGGAATGGGCAACTGAAATTGTCATCAGTTTACCAGCCGCCATTGCCGACCTTATCATTGAGTACATTCAATGCTCTCATCGAATTGGTGGACATCTTGGGAAGCACTACCCGCTCTCAAACCGCCCCAAATTTCCTCCACGAAATGATTGGCCGGCTGGAGGCATGGAAGTCTTCGCTACCACAGAAACTCGACTATATTCGAAAAGACTCTACACCCATGACGCCACCTGCATTATTGCTTCGATTCACGTACTGTGTAACCGCGCTAGCATTTGTTCCTTCTCACAACTGGTTCGAGCAAACCCTAGATGTGCTGAACACAATGAATGCCCAACTCGGCCCGGCAAGATTGCCTGCCATAGTCTTTTGCCTGCTTAGAAGCATCAAAAAGAGCGTCTCAAGTCTGGTTCTTGATCACATAGCATACGCCAAAATGCGTGATCTTTTTATCAGTCTTGATCCGTCATTCGGGAGACCAGAAGACGCGTCTACAAGAGCTCGAGGAGCCCAAGGCCCACAAGGAGACGTACCACACAATTTTTCCAGGACAATGCAAGCTTCCCCCGCATCATTCATTATGAATACGGGTGAGCCTTTCATCGAAGGGTATCAGCGACCATCTGGGTCTTCAATGCATGTAGATGGCCTTTTGCCTGCAATGAACAACGCACAAGAAGGCGATAACCAACCCCCATTCAACCCGTTTGACTTCGCCATGAATGTTTTGATACCGGAACCCCACGATCCTTATAACGCTCTGATCTCGGGAGATATGGGAAACTTTCTTGACGACTTTGCTTCAGAACATGGAGCAAAGAAGCTACAGCATCAGCCTCAGTTCATGGAAAATCTGGGATTTTCAGCAGAGATAAGCATGGCCGATCTATTGGCAACAGATCGCACTCAATTCATGTCGACAGCTCCGCACCCAGCTCAGGATGATGACCAGAATCCATCGCAACTCCCCTTTACCACATTGTACGAGATCGGTCAAGATATCTGAACCTCAAGGCTTTTGAAAGAAATATTGCCCCGTCATAAGAACCGGCTTGAGACACACAGGTGCGAGGAAACCCAGTTTTGATGAAGACTGGTTATTTACAAACTACGCTATCAGCACTGGTATCATATGGAAAGACGTAAAGAAACGGCTTATGCACTAGAGACGTGCAATTTCGGTCTCCTGGACCACGCTCCTGGTTTCTTGTCCTTTCTTATCCCATATATTTGTAGGCTCCAGTGAACCAGGCTCCACACCCTCAAGGAGCCCCAAGTCCTGTTGAAATCTCCTCCAAGATACTGCTGCACGCTCCGCCAACTCTTCGACAACCGCATGATCTGTGTTGTTCATCACTCGATTGAATAGCTCCATACTAACCCATCCATCATAGCCAATTTCTCTAACGATGGCGTACGCAACATCTCTGACCGGCAAGTACGCCCCACGTGTGCTTTCACCATAGAAGAGTCTGCAGTTTCTGCTCCATGACATGCGTGCTGGCTGATCGGCATTGTAAAATTCATGGCCGGGTACAAGGGGCCGCTTTAGCCGTTCTGCATCGACAATCTGAATGAAGAAGATCTTTTCCCTATGTGGCTTGATCTGCTCGACCAGCCGTTGTAAGGAATCGCAGACCTCTTTTGCTGCGCCTTGGGCTTTTCCAGTTTCTGAATTGGGATCTGCATATATCCTCCCGAGAATGTTGAAGCTGTCGAGGCAGATGCCAAAGTTCGATCGATCGACCCGCGACACGATATCCCAGCATGTTTCCCATTTGTTCACACGCGTACCCCAACACAAACTTTCGTACACAAACCGGATCACCGGAGACTGTTGGAGTCCGAGATCTGCGATTTCCTTGAGGTCGCTGACAATGAGATCTGTGTCGGAAGAGACCTGATCTGCTGGAAGGAAGGACGAAGGAACTTGAATGATGTCCGTTTGAAGCACCTTGGCTAGCTTCATCCACAGCTTCATCTCTTGGATTCTCTCTTCATGCAGTTTCCTGTCCAGCAAGCCCTCGTAGTGCATGAAAGGCTGGAGACATATAATTTCAAGCCCTAAAGATGAGCAAAGATCCCGGAGTGTGGCAGCGCCTGCGATAAGAGCAGAGGGAGAGTCGGAACCAGAGTAGTCAACCAGATCTTCGTAGAAGAGCTCAATACCTTCTATTCCATGCTTTGCAGCCATGGAAAGTTTATGTTTCAGGCTATGACCAGCGTAGGACCGGCCTAGCGACATAGACGAGATACCAGGACGGCACGGCATGTTAGCAATGCAGTTTGTGTGACGAAGTAACTCAGAAGAAATAAATACGTTGAAAGTTATATGCTTGTAGAATCATCCAAGCTGAACCAACGAACCCTACACAAGAAGCACCACCCAACCTATAAATCAATCCTCGGTTTCATACCTTCCCCACATTTCACCGCCGTGATCAACGCAACGCCCCGAAACGCAACATCACCTTATCCTATGCATCATTTCCCTATCCTCCATACCAAATATCATCCTTATTCACCGGCTCTCCGCTTATCCCCAGCGTTAGCAGCCAACTGTCCCAATCGGCAGATTTATTCGCAAACCTGCCACACCCATGCTCGGTATCCGTAATGCCGTGCACGTCCGCTCGCGAAATCAATTCACCGATTAACTCCCGATGCTATCCGCGCTGTCTCGGTGCGAAAATACTATACTAACCTGTTGTAGCCGTGTTGTACCGCTGAGTCTTTAGAAGTATTGGATACTAGAAAGATAGTAATGACGACTTGACGGGTGGCTAGCGTCGTGGAAAAGGATTCATACCCGGTGCACGCACTGCATGTGGATTAGCAGATTTTGGGAAATACGGTTAGAGTTGCTGGAAGGGAGGTTAGGAAGCGTGATTCGTCAAGTTGGAGGATTTGATAAGAGTATATGAATAAGATGGGGTTGCGGTTGTGACACATGACGAGGTAAGAAGCATTTGAGCTGGTTCTCGGGGGATTTCTGCGAATCATGTATATACAAATGTATCAACGTACGAGCTTCCCCCTTTTGATATTGCGAACTATAGAGCTTTGGTATCTGAAGCATATATGAAATATAACAATAATTGATTTGTTCTCAGAGTGTATTGATATATACTATTCAATAGTAGGATAGGGCTCTTCAGGAACTAAGAGCGTTTATAGTACATACTACACGTAGAAGTTGTACACGTATGGTATTGTTAAGGTAGCAAATAAAGTACTTAACTGGTATATCAAAAAGGATATATGCTTAGTATAATAAAATCTAATTGATGTTTCTTAAAAGAGGTAACATCCGGACAAAATGAAGAAAGCACTGGTATAGTACTCGTTGCAGCTATATTGTGTCCGATCAGATGAGCAGCCTATGTTTCCATATCTGCTGCTATATAACCTCGCCAGATAAGAACAGCCTTTGGGGTCAGCCAGCCCTCGATGAGCGCAAGAGTACTCATGATGAATTTGCTATCTGGCTTCGCTTCCGAAATTCAGATAGTGTCCATGAAGGGGAGGATGGTGTTGCTGGTCAGGCCAATGGGTGCGGTTATTTACAAAAAGGAGTGGATTTGGTAGAGTAGAGACTAGCCTGCATCTACAGTATACTATACTGCCCCCGGCTGAGCAAAACGTGCTTTTTTGCTGAGTAAAATGTGGAGAAGATGCTAAATCCCCATGGAGAATGATGTTTGAGGATGTTAAGCAGGATTTGGTGTCACTCCAGTGGCAGTGCAACACTTTCACAGGGACTGGTGTGGTAAGACTTTACGGCGGATGCATCTTCGAATACTCTTCCACCAGATCCTAAGATTTGAGCCATTACGGGGAAGCACATTTGCAGGCCCCCGCTTCGGATTGTGTCCCAAGATCGCAATTTTCACGTCTATCATGCTTAGTTGGGAAATCCTGCTATTATCCAAGCGGTTAGAACTGACGCAGTGCCTGGAAACGCATTTATACGCGAGGTTTAGCGGCCGTTATCGCTCTCCTGATTGGACACAACGCGTAGACGTCATGAGAACATCGGTCCGTTCGGGCCTCGACAACATTGACGCACCTTATGTGCACATGCAGTGTAGCTTTTTCCGGGATTGATGCGCTTTAGATCTGCTTTGTTCGGCTATTCCATGATGGTACAAGCTGCAAGCCAGAGAAGTTTCTGGTCGAGATAGCGTAGCATCTATCTTGAGAGCAACAGCTTGAGCAAACTTGACAATCGTACACTCCACTTCAATAACGCTACATACAACACGACCAAAACTTGATATAGTCTGTAGCTGAGGCTGTGACAATTTACAACCTGTGATTACTATAAAGCGCCACGAAGTCTCCATTCCTAGAATACATAATTCTGCTGGATAACAATGTCAATCAAAACCAGGATACCAGAGATATCCCAAACTCAGCGCCATGGCTATCTCTTCAGCCACCCAATTGCACACTCAATTTCGCATCTGCTAAATAGGACCGTGCAAGATGCAATAGGCTTGAACTAGTCATAGTGTTATCTAGAATTAAGAGATGTATTTCTCTTCCTTCCACTGATCGAACACTCACAGTTCCATAGTAAAAAGCTAAACCAACAATGACCTCGAGACCTCCAATTCTGACCTCTCCAACAGGCGAATCTGTAATCAGTCCCCCCAAACCTGCGATTCTACACGGTGTTAATAGGCGAGTAGAGGAAAGGCTCAAGGGCCAGTACTGTAAACACTTTCTTTATCTAACACAATTTTGCAATAAAACATTGCTATATAGAGGCACTAATATACCCGTGATTAGCGTCCATAATACATTCGCGTATAGTGTTGAAGTATGAAAATCGACCATCTCTTATGATTAGTAGAAAAGGCGCAGCGAAACGACTATTTCCGTATCAAGAACGCGGATAAAACCAAGTAAATTTACGGTATAAGTATCCCATTCATATTACCTTCAGTTAGAAAACAACTCATGGTAATGATATATGTTAGGTACCATGTTGATGCAGGGTTGGAAGAGGTCAATAAAACGGCAAACGATATCTTAGCTGTAATCTGTAAGTTTGACACACATGGATACAGCAGTTCGGTAATTCATATATCTCGCGTAATCTAAGGATAAAATCTTACTAGCTTTGATGCCACTATATTCTATATCCTTAAACTCAGTTTAACACCTCAGTAAAAACTCAGAGTGAAATTTATATTCAATCATCTCTTATGAAAGTAAAACCATAGCGCGTTCATCATAGCGCACTACCATTCTGCAGAGTAGATGGAAATCATTAAGATTATTATTATTATTATTATTCCATTAGAGTCTATCTGCAGTCAGTGACTATGTAAGACTTTGGCCAGAGGCCGTTCTAGGTACAA